CAAAGCATGGTGTGGGACATGCATATAAAACAGTCTGGCCTCAAAGAGCATGTAATTTAGTTGATATATAAGACAGATGTGAAAAGTTACTGGTTGTAAAAGTGTGGCAAAAGTGTGAGACACCACTTCTGCTGAAGTAATGATGATGTCTTATAAATTACAGTACTGTATTCTCTAATTTTCAGCACTTTCACGTGCTCCTCAGAGCTTATGAAATTTGTAGGATAGATTTACTGAAGTTATGCAGATATATTTTATTAACTAAAATTCAGAGAAGAGAAACAATACGCTTATAACTGTTTCACTGAGTCAGTAAATGGTAACCTAGGACTACCTAGAATGAAGGTCTTCTGACTCGGTTCTCTATAAAGAATAGAAACAAGAGTTCAGCCAAGCTTGGAGAATGAGCAAGTTTGAGATAGGCATTCCAGGAAAGGGAACTGGTATGAACCTATTCAGGGAGCAGCCAGAGGAGCCAGGCTGCAGGGAAGGAAATAAGGCCAGATCCTTCAGGGTCTCGGAACTCAGTGGTTTGGAATTTATACTCTGGCAAAGGGAAGCTATTCAAGGTGGCTGCAGAAGGGTGTGTCATGAAGAAAGCGGCACTTCAAAGAGTAAGAAGAAATTATCCTACAGAGTGGAGATTCTGGCTATAAGAACATGTAATGACAGACTTGTCTCAAAATAACTTGTCATATTTCTGGGTTGCTTAATATAAAAGAGATCTAATATATCAGGTGATTCTTCAAGGGCTGTTCTGAGATATAATTTTAAAAAACACATAGGACGCTCCCGTGACCACAAGTTGGCCTGCCATAACGTTTTCCCAAAGCTCCAGTGTTCCCAACCTTCCATAATTATTTTTTGCCTGTCTCACAGACGGCTGGTGCAAAGAGATCACATGTTGAAAACACTCACAAAGCTACTGTCTGGTCAGTAAATGGTAGCTATTTTTATTTTCAAATATCTAGGTGTTTTCCCTCATGATTTAAAATTTTTTATTCACGTGGTGTTATGGTTAAGAGATCAGAGTCTCATAAACCTGTGTTCTGTGATCGTGACCAGTCATAAACTCTCTAAGCCTCAATTTTCTCATGTCTAAAATGGGATTGATACTAATCTTATGAGGTTATTGTAAGGTTCATATGACATATCTAAAGTGGTTAGTAATTTCTCAATAAATGGTGGCTGCTGTTTTATTTTATACTTCATGCACTGTATTAACAATTTAGAATAGGAGCTTATAAATCTTTCTGAAAATCTCCCTTTTACTCTATGCATATCTGTAATTACTTGATACCATGAGTCTTAATATGGTTAGGGAAAGAGAGTGTGTGAAATACAGTCCTTCCCCATCATGTTTTTTTTGGGAAATGTTAATTCTGGAAATGTTCCATAACTACCAAAAGTACAGTATTTGAAGCCAGGTAAGAAAATTAAAAAATGTAAATCATAGTCAAAATCTCATTTTTCACCTACATAGCCCAAAACAAAATCCATCTTTTGAATCTTTACAAACTGACTAGGTAAATATACAGTTTACTTTCTCTTACACACACATACTTATGTCATAATACACACCCTGACCTGGCCAACTCAATGCTTTCTTCTTTGAATCCACAGGAAAATCAAGTAGTTCATATCTGTAAGGATTATCTGAAAATTTCAAGAAAAGCACAGTTATCCTAGATAAATAAATCTTTTTTTTTTGGTATGGGGGATTGAACTCAGGACCTTGAGCTTATGAGGTAGGTGCTGGAACCACTGAGCTAAATCTCCAGCCCTAAATAAGTATTTTAACTAATAAGATTTATGGATGCAATATAAGTTAGAGATAAACATTGGTGAATAGTCTAGCTATATAGTTACAGCTAAGCACATGCTCTACTGCTGAGCTACGCTCCCAGGCCCTCATTACAGCTTTGAGACAGGAGTCTGCTCTTGAACTCCGAGCCCTTTTATGAGCAGCATGTGGGCCACAAAGAGTGAAAATGAGTCCTACTGTCCTCAGCAGTAATAGAAGGTACTAGTGCTTAGTTAGAGAGCCCTTTAGTCCTCTCCAGGAGGCTCAGCAAATACATTTTTACTATCTGTTTTGGCTTATCTCTTCCTATATATAAAGTGCTTTCAAAAATGGAGTTAGTGCCTGCTTACCAAAAAGGTATTGGGGGCCGGAGATTTAGCTCAGTGGTTTCACCGCCTGCTGCGCAAGCGCAAGGACCCGAGTTCGATCCCCGGTACCAAAAAAAACCCAACCAAACAAAAAAAAGGTATTGAGAGAGAATATTTTCAATAATATAAATTCTTAGGTTTTGGTTTATAATTTGATAAGCTATACCAAACTCAGCATGGCTTGGACTCATCCTAACTTTTAAGTTAAAGAATGCTCTGAATACCCACTCTCATATATAACAAGAACAAAGGCTGGCATTTATTGAACAATTACTATGTGCCAGGTATGTAAAAATGTTTTATTTTTATCAACACAAGCATTTTCATAACATTATTATGAGAAAGGTCACGTGATTCCCACTTCAGTGAACAAAGAAACTTAGGCATACAGAAAATAAAGAAACTGAGGCAAACAGCTAGTAGGTGGAAATTAAATTCAGGCATTCTGGTTCCAGAGCCTGTGTTATTAACCTATATGCTATGTATTTCTAATAAAAGAGTATAAGTAAGTAAAAAACTCCGAGTACTTGTTTCTGGAAAGATCTTTTTCTTAGTGTTATTAAAGTGTACTCGTCTTTCAAAAATCTCCTAAGAGTTACCCTTACCCTGGGAAAGGGTTTCTTTAGTCCCTTATCTTATCTATGACCACAATGAAAGGGATTTTTATGAATTTGACTCATATTCCTGTGACTGCTTGCTAATCATATGCTTCATATTATTTCTGAAATGATCTCATTCAGGATGGAAAAAGAGGGATTTACTTTGACAATTTCCCTAACAAGATCATAAAAATTTCAGTTTTGTAGATATCATGTCTTGAGAACTTTTGCACTTGTCTCACTGCTGTCCTATAACTATGACAGTGACACTCAACAGCCAATATACTCGACACAGCTCACATGCCTTGCATCAGTGCTGACTGGCCTGGGAGGTAACAAAAAAGTTCAGCATGGTGTACACACACTGGAGTCGTCTGACATCAGAGTAATAAAGATAATAACTGCTAGAACTTATCTGTCTTCTCTGGTCTAGTTACTAGTATTCCCATTTCACAGTTCGAGATGCAGGGGCAGAGAAGAAAGTTGCTGATGATCCACAGTGACTAAGTGGCAGACCCAGAATCCCACCCATGCAATCTGACTTGAGTCCCTGCCCTTAAACACCCTCACTCCAAATGTTACTGTCTGCTTTAAGGCCTTAAGGTTGACTGATCCTGATGGTGGGAGTATTCTGTCCTTGCCTTTTTGTCTCAGTATTCATGCAGAGGAACTGTATTTTAGGACCACTTCTTGAATTGTACCTATGGTACTTCACAGAATAAATCCATTCAACAAAATGCCTTTGCCTACCCTGTGCCTTTTCTGCACCTTCACTTACCCTCCCTGTAGCATCTTCAGTCTTTTCCCAGAGGTCTCTTCTCTGTTTTCATGCATATGCAGGTCTGGTTGGCAAGGACTGAGGTGTTTGGGGTGGGAGGGTCTCAATGATTGGTGTGGGGATTTCCACCCTCTCTAATAAAACACATCCAGGAGACACCAAGGGTTGTGGTGAAAGAGAGAAGGTGTTCCAGATTAGTCAGAGGAACTAAGCAACTGCTTCCATTACCTTCTGTCTTATTTCAGTGGCAATCCCTAATTTTAAAAAGCTTACCTTTAAAGGAGAGCAGGAAGGAATAAAAGAAAACACAAGTACAGTGAAGACAACCAATTCAACAAAGTTTTGGTTTCTGATTCTACTGTACAGGGTGAGTGTAGAGAGGTCAGGAATGTCTGCCGTCTGCATTAACTGCCCTGGGATGGGGCCTCCACTGATCTCTCAGTGCACCCGAGGTGAGAACAACTTTCTAAGCTATGACTGGTTAAACACTTGTGTCTTGAGACCTTTGTGTTCCCTGTTTTAATTTTAACATTGAATGAACTCCAATAATAAGAATTAATACAATTTTGATTTCGAGTCACATCTTACCTCTTGTCTTCAAAACTGTTGTATCATAAGCCTTGGTTGGCATTGTGGGAGGAAATGGCCATTGCGTGCAGGCTTTAACGCCTGTGTAGAGCTCCTTTGGTAATGTGAAGGTCGGGAACATGGCACCACGAGAGGTGTGTGTATGGTATGGATGTTCGATTGGATATGGGGAGCAGATTTCTCTAAGATTTATTGAACAAATAAAATAGAAACAGAAGAAAAAGAAATACAATAAAAATTATTGTCAAATATTTATTGGGACCCTTCATTATGGCACATACTGTTCTAATCCCTGGGGATATGACAGTGACCCAAATTTCCTATATTCATGAAGTTAACATTCTACTGGGGCCAGGGCTGCACCTGTCTAGCAAGTGCAAGGTCCTGAGTTTGAGCCTTGGTATCAGAAAAAAGAAATTCTATGGAATATGTAGCATAAAGCATAAGAAATGTTCTGAATTTTGCTGGACAAATCAAAACTAAATTTATTTTTAAAAGAAGTCATACCTAATAATCAGTGAATAACTTCCATAACTGGTAAAAGCAGATGATATATGAATTTTGTAGTTTTTAGAATATACAGGAAGAATTTCTACTTGCTTTTAATTCTTGTTTTTAAAGGACCAAGGGACTTTATTTTATGGAATGTTTTGGGTGTTTAAACTCAGTAATAAAACCACCTTGGATTAAACTTTTATTCCAGATTATCTACTTCTTGAAGCAATCAACTAACAAAATTATACTGCTCATTTCCGTACACAGACTGTTTTGAAACAAAAAAGCCAAAAATAGCTAGGCCACTGTTATGGTTTATATCTACATGTCCCCCCAAAGCCTCATGTGATCATAGGTGGAGCTTTTCGGAGGTGGCTGGATCTAGGGTGTGTGATGCTGGGATTGATTCAAGATGCATGCTAGGGTTAAGGCTGCCCCCCCCCACCCCGTGGGTAGCCTGGATAAGATATAGGGGACAGAAAGGGATGCTGTTGTTTGTTGTTTGCTGCTTCTGCTGCCTCCTGCCTTCCACTTTCCACACCACAAACTGTTTTTTCTCCTCTGTGATGCCCCTCTGCCATGTGCCACCCAGCCCTGGAGGAAGAGGAAACCTCTACAAACTGTGAGCCAAAATAAAACTTTCCTCCTGTAATTTTAGGTGTTGGGCATTTTGTTTCAGCAAGGAGAAAAAGTAACTAAGGAAAAAAAAGTTAAAGAGGCCACATTTTCTATCATTTGCAAAACTAGCAAACGTTAGGAAAACAAAAGGGTTGTCTAAACTAGAAAAAACCAGAGATTAGGAAGTTCATGTTATGTTAATTAGAAAATTAAGTAGGAAAAAACAAGACCAATGTTATGGGTTGAATTGTTTCTCTCTCCAAAATTCCTAGGTTGAAATCCAACCTCAAAGGCCTTATGCTGTGATTTAATTTGGAAATGGTGTCATTCTATACATAATCGTTAAAAGGGGGTCATATCAGTGTAGAGTGGGCTCCTATTCTAACATGAGTGGTATCCTTATAAAAAAAAGAAACTTGGACACCAATAAGTACACAAAGAAAGTGACACACAGATGAAGACAAGAGATCAGAGGGGACACATCTACAAGCCAGGGAATGCTGAATATTATTGTACCAGTGAACCACCAGAAGCCAGAGTAAGCCATGGACAGATTCTCACAGCCCTCAGAAGGAACCAACCTTGCCAGCACCTTGGACATCTGCTGCAAGCAGGAAGGTAAACCGAACAAATTTAATCCAACAAAATGAGCTTTTCTTTTTATACTCTTTATGAAGAGAATTTTAAAAGTCAAAAACAACAGTTCTTCACATAATTCTTTGTAAAAACAAAACCAAACCACCCTCAAAAGCAAAAAACTCCTCCCAAACCTAAATTAATGGATCTAATTGAAACACAATTTTAAATGTCGGCTTAGTATTTTCAGTTAAGACTGATAAGTTGATAAGTGACTTCAGTGTCCAGAAGAACATCTACTGCTCAGACCTGGTTTCCTACATCGGTTTCCAATAAAAGGAACCAGGGGATTTTTTGGCATTATGACTGATTCTAGCAGAGGGACAGGACATATACAAGATGATACAGAAGTGCCAGAAAATAAGGAAGAGCTAAAAGAAAAAAAAACCCTTCCAAAATGCCAAATAGTGGAGTAAATGTCAAAACAATACAGAAACAAATGGAAATTGCTTCTTATGGCTAATATGAGTAACAAAGTAGTATAGAGTAACTACCTATGTACAAAAAACAAAACAGTATCCACAAGTCCATATTGCAAATAATTAAACAAATATCCCATGCAGAAGAATGCCAAGGAAATAACTACTTTGTTCTCCGAAGGTGGAGCATAATTTCAGATGCCTGGTGTGCACAGTGACTTTAAGAGTACAGTGTGGAAAGAGAAAAATATTAATTGTACAGTGGAGAAACCTGATGAGCACTCGCTGTCCCTGACAGTGATTAATCATGCCGAGAGCAGGAACAGTGATGTGATATAATGAATGGCACTATATCTCTGTGATCTTCCACCCAAAACACATTACCCCAGTCTAACCATAAGAAAAACATTGATCAGAACCCCACTTGGGGGCACCCTACAAAATACTTGACCTGTCATCCTCAAATTTCCAAGGTCATTAGAATAAGGAAAGCCTGAGAAAATGTTACAGCCAAAAGAAGCCTAAGAAGACATGATGACTAAATGTAGTGTGGTATCCTGGGTGGATTTGAAACAGGAAAAGGACAGTAGATAAAAACTGAGGAAATGTGAATAAAGTATGGACATCAGTGAAATAGTAATTCATCAAAATTGGTTAATTAACTGCCATATTAATGTAAGATGTTAACAGTAGAGAAAATTGGGTGTGGGGCATGTGGCAATTCCCTGTACTAACTTCCCAGTAATTCTATAAATCTAAAACTATACTAAAATAAAAAAGCTTATTTATTTATTTAGTACCAGGAAGTGAACTCAGGACCTCATGCTTGCCAGGCAGGCGCTGTGCTGCTGAGCTATATCCCCAGTCCAAAAAATTTATTTTATTTTATTTTTATTTTTTTGGTATCAGAGATCGAACTCAGGACCTTGAGCTTGCGAGGCAGGTGGCAGAACCACTGAACTAAATCCCCAGCCCACTAAAAAGTTTATTTTAAAAAAGATTGGCAGAGGATATAATTGGGGGAGAAATCAAAATAATGTTAACTTGGATTTGCACCAGCTTATCCTTGCAATTGTTAAAAAATAGCCTTTAGGGCCAGGGATTTAGCTCGGTGGTTTTGCTGCCTGCTGCGCAAGCGTAAGGACCCGAGTTCGATCCCTGGTACCAAAAAAAAAGCTTTTATAGTAGAAGGAAGATTCTTAGATATGAGGAAGGGAATCAGGAGAGGAGAAAGGAGAGAAAAAGGAGAGGGCAATGAGGGAGGTGAATACAAAGTATGTTATCTGCATGTACCAATATGCCAAAATGAAACTCATTCTTCTGTATAACTAAAATTCACTAATAAGTGAAAAACAATTTCATGAAAAGTCTAACTTGTCCTACACTCAATTTAGTCATATGGAATTCCAGTGTTTTTTTCTTGATTATAACAAGGGAGGAAAATGCAGGTTGTACACTTACTCTACTGCTGAATTTGGTGGTTTGGGCAACCTAGAATAAAAACAGGAAACAAATACTAAATTAAATTAAGGACTGTTTAAGCCTTGTATTTCTACTGCAAACTTGCTTAAGAATAAAGACATCCCATTTTCAAATTAAATTGTCAGAATATTTTTTATTAACCTTTTGGAAGTGTGCATATTGATAAGACAGAGGGATATGGTCCTTTTCATATCTCAGTTGTCTGTTGGTCAGTTTTTCCATTGCATTTATTCTAACTTCAGTCCTTGTCACCACCCCTTGTGCATTTCTTATTTGCAGTGAAGGTACAGAGCCTGACATGTACTGGCAAGAGAGCTTTGGTCCTTAGTGACCTTCACTCTCATGACCAGGCAGTAGCCAGAGAGCCCTGAGGGAGCTCGACATCAGCCAAGTGGTACAAGTGCATGACCTAAAGCGACCAGAGTCTGGCCTACTTGGAGGCGACATGCAAGTACCAGGTGTGCTTTGTTCCTTTGGCCAGGGTTGTTGACCTCTCTTCTGAGTAAATGCTGGTCAGTCAGCAAAGAGAGGATACAATAGAACTGACAGAGCTCCTAGAGGCATGCCCCTTCTGAACTGGCTCATTCCAAGCTTGTGCTTTTACTAGCTACTTTGAACTGTGCATCCCAAGAAGTAATGCCATAGTCCTACGAAGGAGTCTACTAGAGAGGGATTGATATGCACTTACATTTGACTTTGGCACTTGGTTTCAGACTATGCAACTAGGACTGAAAGATTTCAGACATGAAAAACGAACACAGTGCTATCAGATAGTAAAAACCGGTAAAACTAAATACACTGTTTAATTTTTCAGATATTGCTCGCTCCATGCTAGAGGGTAGTCACTAGAAAGTGGTATGTTGGCCATATAATTTTATTATTCTATAATGAATGCATTATAAACACACAATTCACATTAATCATAAAAGTTATACAACTGGACTCGAGTTTGTGGGAGAACTAAAAAAATAATTTTCTGTTTTGAGATGGGGAGAAGGTGGTTTGTGATGAATGATACCAATGCAAGGGATTTAGGGTTACTAGATTAGCCACTGCATATAAAACATTAACTATTATCTCTAATTGTTCTCATGTGATGAATTTTACTATGATATTGATAAGTATATGACTAAAATTGAAAATGAAAAAGGTACAAATATTTTTAAAAGGAAATCTTTTTTAAAAATTCAAAATTGGAAGAAATAAAATGAACAAATGTTCAGAGACACCACTTCCTTGACTCAAACTAGTTCATCCTACTGCCATGCTCTACATCTGCTTTGGAAAGTTCACTACATCCAAAAAGTTAAAGCCCAGGCGAACATAAATTCTGACTTTTTGGTTCCCTCTAGTGGCTAAATTTTATACTGCACTAACTTCTCAAGCTATAAACAGATAACATCACAGATAAGGTAAAGAAGTGGTATTTTCATCATTACTTCAGTTCTGTCCTTTTTTAAAAAAAATTTAAAATAAAAATTTATGATTTTGTAGTATACACAATAAATTATTTAAAATAATATAAGTAATTTAATATACTGGAAAATAATATCTTGTAAGTACAGAGTCCATTAACCAGTACTCCTTACTTAAAGAGCTGAAAATTACTTAGGGAATAATTTTAAAGAGTTATTTGTACATAATCACAACATATCTCTCTCCTCGTGAAATTCCAATTAAAAATTGTTGAGTGCCACTGAGACATTTTCTATAACTGTAAAAAATAGATTCTTTTTTTTTTTTTTTTGGTACCAGGGATTGAACTCGGGACTTTGTGCTTTCGAGGTAGGTGGTGGAACCACTGAGCTAAATTCCCGGCCCCCAAAATAGATTCTTATTAAAGTAAGTAAATAGATCAAAGCTAAGGAAATAATCAAGATTACCTGTAGGAATCCCTTTGAGCATTACTATTCATTATTTTAAATTTTTTGTTCACTTGTTTAAATGCTCAAATTATTAGTTCTGGTTTATTTACTTTTTTGTTCATAGTATTAATGATCTCTTTTTTAATAAAAAGGAAGAATTTGTGTCTCAAAAAGTCCTCGTGTGGGGGCTGTTTAATTTCTCACATTATTTACTTCCAATTAAAATGTTGTTTGATTTAATAGAAGGTAGGGAGGAGTCTTCAAACTTACAAAGAATCATTTCCATAGATGTCACTTTTTTTGTTCTGTGTCAAGTAATAGAATTGTTCAGTAGGAAGCTTTCTGAAATGAAAGAAAAGATTAAATTGAATATCTTTTTAACACAGTATAAGCAGGGAGACAGTAAAAGACAAATAGATTTGCTAATACAACCATGAATATATATAGGAATTCAGTATATGAGAAGGTAGCATTTTAAATTAGTTGAAAAGTATATGTTTTTCAACGAATGGTACAGGAAGCACTATCCATTTGGAAAATAATGTATCTCTATTTGACACTATTCAAAAGGATAATTTAATATTATAAAGAATGTATTGTGCTTTCCATGGATCTCTCTCAGTTCTTATACTATCTATCTTTCAAGAGGAAAAAAGAAAAGGGTTGATGGTGAGTGTCAAACTCATTCAGATGATTGAGAAAATTATTGTTGTAGAATAATAATAATAATTTTCCTAATCATCATCAGTCCTTTTGTCTCTCTCTTTTTTCCCTTATTAATAGTATGACTTTCGATATTTTCTCTGAATTGGAGAACGGCAGTATTTTGTAGACTCACCTTGCCTCAATATGCATTTGCAATGTGGGGATGAGATTAAAAATAATGACTCTCAATCGATAGTGTGATTTCCTCTTGGGCCCCAACACTTGTAGGAAGATTATGGAAATATGTGGGGGTGATTTTATTTTGGTTGTTACAATGAATGAAGGACGCTACTAGTATCCACAGGCAAAGAGCTAGGGATGCTAAACATCTTGGGAGTACATGGTACAAAAGAGCTGTCCTGTTCCAAATGCCTTCTTAGGAAACAAGTAAGAGTGTGGAATAAAATGCATAAGAATTTTCTTTCCTTGGCTGCTATTTACTAAAATTAACGGCACAAGGCTGTTCCACCTTTTATTGTCTGGTGGCTGGTTGCTGATAGTATTTATTTCATCTTTTAGACATTGTAAGAGATTTTGCTTCATATTATAGTCATATTACCTTTTAAGTACTATGATTATTAAAGGGTACTAGGAAAATAGAAGTTCCTCAAGAAATTAAAAATATCCTTCAGTTCGCAGAGCACTACAGATCTGTTTAATAGCTTTTCCTATTTGACAGTAGCTTAGAGGAAGAATCCATTTCCTTTTTTCATAGACAAATTAACAATTTTACTACTTCACTAATGTTTATGGAAGTGAAAATAAAGTTATAAATTTTCATCACTTTGTGATTTAATTCTTTCAGGGACTGGATGCTGAATTAGATAATGACTGGCCTCATTTGGGAATTTCTGAAACATGCACATCATGCGTAAGTAAACATTGCTAATGTTTCTTCAAAAGAGTTTTCCTTAGATATATTTATGTCAAAAACTGCTATAAAGAAGGAAAAATTTGAGTAATTTGTAAGAAAATGGATGCATTTTGAAACCATAATGTTAAGTGAAATACATGAGATACACATTAAATAGTGTATGGTTTCTCTTATATGAGAAACCCAAAGTACAGTGGTACTTCAGTTCATGAACTTAATTTGTTCCACCATTCTGGGAAACATGGCCACATTCATGTATGTGTGGGAAAGATGGCTGCAGTCACATTCGTCACCTGAAGCAGACTTTGCAAATTAAACCAAAATTTTGCCAAACATTTCTGTTTGTGAACAATTTGGTTTGTGAACCCAGGTGCTGTACTGCTGTATTAATTAAAGAGCAAAATAAAAGAAAGATCCAAGGAAACAGGGAGATAGATTGTTTGCAAATGGGAAGGGGACCAACAGATGGAGGGAGGAGAAAGTAAGGGAGGGGAAGGGGATAAAAAAAGAATTAAGATGTGTCATGTACATGTACCAAATACCTACAACGTAATAGTCATCATGTACTGCAAAAAGGTACTAATATAAAATAACAAAAAGTTAGTTAACTAGATTGTTAGTAAACCAGGCGACCAGGATTGTTAGGTAAAGCAGAAGCAAGTGGGCTCTATGCTATGGTTTGATTTTGCTCTCAGTAAATTTCATAATCTTTTTTTTTTGTACTGGGGATCGAACTCAGGTCCTTGTGCTTAAATTTCATAATCTTTTGTAAATAATGTGACATTTAATTTACTGCTCTCAGACTTTTTTGCTTTGCTTAATTTTATTTTATTTTATTTTTTATTTTTATTTTTGGTACCGGGGATCGAACTCAGGACTTTGTGCTTGCCAGGCAGGCACCAGCACCACTGGGCTAAGTCCCCTTTGCTTAACTTTAACTTGTGTGTTTTTTGTTTTTTGGGTTTTTTTTGTACCAGGGATCAAACTTGGGACCTTGCGCTTACAAGGCAGGTGGCGGAACCACTAAGCTAAATCCCTGGCTTAACTTGTGTTTTGAAACGCATTTCTGGAAGTGAATTTAAGAGTTGTAAATTATTATTGAAATATTTTAATGCTTGAAAACAGTGCCTAGCAGATTCTCATAACTATAGTAAAGATTGATGAACAACTTACAAGTCAAAAGCTCCAAAAACCAAGAGCATCTGTACAAATTAGGCCAGCTCTTTGCTTAAAATCATTTTAACTTTAATGGCTTTCTCCTCTCTCCCTTTTTCTCACTCCCATTTTTTTTTTTTTTTTTTGGGTACCGGGGATCGAACTCGGGACCTTGTGCTTGCGAGGCAGGCGCCGGAACCACTGAGCTAAATCCCTGGCCCTCCCATTTACTTTTAGTAAGATATAAGGGAGAGAATTCAATTAATCAGAATTTCTGATCATAATACTTTAATATTTCTAAGGATAGCAAAACAATTCATAAACAGACTTTTTGCTGATTTCACAATTAGAAATCATGTAATTAGCTTTTTCCATCGGTGTCTTCATAAATCATAAAAGAAATATTTGGAAGCAGATTTGAGTTGGCAAAGGACTGAACAGAAATAAATATTAAAAAAAGGACCTTTATAGGAGTGGCAGAAAGCTTGGTTACCTTGGCCATATTTCTCCACCAAATCCATAATGCTGATGTCCTCTGGTCATGACACAAGGAGGTTCACATTTGGGCCTGTGTTCCTCAGGGAGCGCAACTGGAATTATCCCTCCATATTCCTTCTCAGCACCCCATGGGAGCCGACATTGCTGGAGTGACTTCCTTAATTCCTGATACCTGTGCGAAAAGAAGAGACTTGTGAAATTGTTCAGCAACAACTACGTATTTTTAGATCACATTTCCAGAACACAGAATTCTCAGGGTTGATTATGATAGATTCTGGTTATTAAGGCATCATGGGACTGCTGAAGGAATGAGGGCAAATTGCTGAATTCCTACAGATCTTTTTTCCTCCAACAGTTATATTTATTTTTTAAAAACAGCTTTATTGACATATAATTTACATGCCACAGAACTCATCAATTTAAGGTACACAATTCAATGACCTTTACTCACAGATACATGCAACCATCACAATTTTAGAACATTTTCATGATCTCAAAAAGAAATCCTTAGCTGGGCGTGGTGGTGCATGCCTGTAATCCCAGCACTCAGGAGGCTGAGGCAGGAGGATTGCCATGAATTCAAGGCCAGCCTGAACCATATAATGAGACCCTGTTTCAAAAAACCAAAAAAAAAAAAAAAGAAAAAGAAAGCAAGCCTTTACCCACCTATTCCTCCCACCCCTACCTTAGCCTTAAGCAACCACTAGTATACTTTCTCTACAGATTTACCTATTCTGGACATTTCACATATGTGGCCTTATGCAATGAGCTTCATTTAACATAACAGTTTCAAGGTTCCTCCATGTTGTAGCACGTCAGTACTCAGTTTTTCTTTTTTTGGTACTGGGGATTGAACTCTGGACCTTGCTTTTGTGAAGCAGACGGTGGCACCACTGAGCTAAATATCCAGCCCAGTACTTACTCCTTTTAATGGCTATGTGTTATTCTATCATATGGATGCACCACATTTTATTTAGCTGTTTTTCAGTTGATGGATATTTGGCTCTTATGAATAATACTGCTATGAATACTTATGTTCAAGTTTTTGTTTGAATACTTGTTCCTAATTTTCTTGAGAATATATAAGGGAGCATCTTAAATGGATGAAATGCATAGCTGGGTCATAGAGTAATTCTGTGTTTAATTTGTTAAGAAAATGTCAAACTCTTCTATAGCAGCTACTCTATTTTATATTCCCACTAATGTTGTGTAAGGGTTCTAATTTCTCTACATTCTTGTTAATACCTGTTATATTGTCAGAAATGAAAGAAATTTATTATAGTTATTTCAGTGGGTGTGGTCTCTCATTGTAGTCTTTTTTTTTTTTTTCCAGTACTGGGGATTGAACTCAGATTTACATGCAGCAGGCAGCGAAACCACTGAGCTAAATCCCCAGCCTACATTTTTCTATTGACTAAAAATAGGGCATTTTTCATGTTACTAGTTTGTATATCTTCTTTGGAAAAATATTGTTCAGATCCTTTGAATATTTTAATTGGTTTGTTTTATTTTTGAGTTATAAGAGTCTATGCTAGATACAAGCCTTTTGTGTATATGATACAAACTATTTGTGTATCTTCTTTGGAAAATATTATTCAGATCCTTTGCATATTTTACTTTTTTTTTTTTTGGTACTGGGGATTGAACTCAGGTCCTTGTGCTTTCGAGACAGGCAGCTGAACCACTGAACTAAATCCCCGGCCCTCCTTTGCATATTTTAATGGGTTTTATTTTTGAGTTTTAAGAGTTAATCTATGCTACATACAAGCTTATCAGACATAGTATGAAAGTATTTTCTCCTATCCTGTGCATTTTATTTTCACTAACTTGACCGCATCCTTGGAAACACAAAAGTTTTAAATTTTTTTTTTTTTTTTTTCAGGGCTGGGGATTGAACTCAGGACCTTGCTCTTGTAAGGCAGGCATGGCACCACTGAGCTAAATCCCCAGCTCTCAAAAGTTTTTAATTTTGATGAAGTTCAATTTTTTCTTTCATTGCTTGGCTTTAGGTGTCATATCTAAGAATACACTGCCACAGAAAACATCATGAAGTTTTACTCCGTTTCTTCTCAGAGCTTTATAGATTTAGCTCTTACACTTAGGTCTTTGATACATGATGAGTTAATTTTTATACATGGTATGAGATGAAAGTTCAACTTACTCTTTTGCATGTGGATATCCAATTGTCTCAGCAAGATAATCTTGTTGAAAGATTTCTTCATTCAGTGGACTTGGCTACAGATTATCATTTTTATTTTGGTGGAGAGTACTGTAAAAGAATAGTAGGGCCGGGGATTTAGTTCAGTGGTTCTGCCGCCTGCCTCGCAGGCGCAAGAACCCGAGTTCGATCGCCAGTACCAAAAAAAAAAAAAAAAAGAATAGTACTAATATCTTAAAGGAGCTATTGCTCCTTGAGCAATTCAGTGAAGTTTTACCAGGCTCATGAAAATGAGGAATTGTTTTGCATCTGGGTCAATGTGTTGCTGGATAGAAACAATGTAAATGGAACCAGGAGGGGCTGGGGATTTAGCTCAGTGGGGCCACACCTGCCTTGCAAGCACAAGGTTGAGTTCAATCCCCTGTACCAAAGAGGGTACGGGGTAACGGGGGTGGGGTGGGGTGGGGAGAAGACTGTTGTAAATGGAACCAGGAACCCAAAGTCAAATGATCGAGACTTTAAAGGGCCACCCCATCCTCATTTGGATACACTCAGGGTAATTCCAGAAAGCTCGGATTTGTAAAGATTTGAGAAAATTTTCTCAGATCTTAAAGGCTCTGAAGAGGACTGACCTTCAGACTATGTTAATAGAGCTGATGTTGAGTTCAGAAATGTAGGACATGGTAGAGATGGATCATGGCAAGAAGTGAGGCATGAAGAGAACAAGGATAGTATCTTGTGGACTCATAGGTGCTGGTCAAAATCTGGAAGGAGTGCTCAGAGATAGGGCATGAACTGTGGTCGACTTTTTTCTTTATACCAGTAGTGTTTGGCTTAATATAATTCCCCTATGACAAGTGTTGAATGCAGAAATAACACTCAGGATTATCTTATGAAATCACTAAATAAGAGGGTTGGTAAACTATGCTCTATAGGCCAAATCCAACCTACCATTGTTTTTGTAAATACTCTTATTGGAATACAGCCATGGCCATTCATTTATGTATTGCTTATAGTCTATGGCTGCTTGTGTCGTCTAACTGCAAAGTTGAGTAACTGTGACAGACTGTAAAGCATAAAATATTTGTCTGGCTCTTTACAGAAAAAGTTTGCTAACCTGTGCACTAACTAGTCAAGGAGAATTTTGGGGGCCACTGATTTGGGGTGCTATAGAAGAGATGCTGGCATTCAGGTCTCAGACCTCAAAGACCCCCACCAGTTCTCTGACTATGATCAAAAGACAGGTTTGGGAGACATGACAAGGGAAAAATATTTAAACTCAAATGATTAATGAAATCTAAGCCTTAATAATTAAGTCTGTAAAAGTTACATTTAAATCATGAGTCAATTTCTCAACATCTGACCCCTGTATATTACTTTGTGCCAGAAGATGAGCCAGTGGAAAATGTTAATTAATCATGTGCACTGGCATCTACTTAAAGTTGGTAAGTTGCAAAAAAATTCATTTAAAATAAAATGCAATCCATAAATGTCATGTTTCACTTCTTAGTGTCCCCCCCACCTACACCTTAGCTTTATTATACTTACAGCGTTGTATAGAAGGAATCAGTTAAAATAAAAGTGGAGGTCTTAGGATGAAATAGAATTTTTAATGCTTATTAGTACATGATTACATTCATCATGGAGAGCTGGTACATGTACATAACACATCTTAATTCTTTTTACTTCCCCTTGTCCTCTCCCTTGGGATGAAATAATTTTACAGCTTAAATAAAACACATTTCCATAGAGAGAATAATACTCAACTTACTGGTGCTGTAATCTGTAGCCACAGAAAATTAAGTAATTTAGTGCTTAGTTGTTTTTTGGGAAAGATACATTTCCTAGGAAATGTTTTTTTGGTACCAGGGATTGAACTCGGGACCCTACGTTTGCGAGGCAGGGAACAGAACCACTGAGCTAAATCCCCAGCCCAGGAAAGATACATTTCCTGTGGATGAATTTATATCTCATTTTGAAGTCACTGTACAGAATTCTGAGTGTCAAATCCCAAATTCAGAGGGCTACATTTAGCTAGTAGTTTTTGGAAGGCATGATTAAAGGAAAGCTCACAGAAAAATATACTTATTTTTTAGTTGGCAGAAGACTAATAGAAAAATGTCAAGAATCAGAGTTATGAAGTGAATCCAGAAGCAAAATGGGAATTTATAATGAAATCCTAAGTAATTCACAAGTACTTCTTTAACTGACATGTTTGCCTGATGAGTTAAGAGAACTTGCTAGAGGTAAAGAGAAGTCGGCTGAGTAGAAAAAGGAGAAAAGAATTTATGATTTTGAGCTGTCCCCACCACATTAAATTTTTAATGGAAGAAACATAAAATAATACACTGCCTGTTTATTCACTTGATATTATTAGAGATCAAGTGATTATGGAAAGTAGTGGATATTATCATTGTCCCAAAAGATATAAATGAATAGGGTATTTTAAGTACAAGTATAAAAATTAGCATGCCCTTGGACATTGGGTAAGCCAGACCATAATCTTGGTTTTCTTAATGTTTTCAGTACTTTCTGCTAGCCCAATCATTTAAGAAGCTGAAAAGCTAAAAAAATGAAGATTCCTTTGCCCTATCGAAGACCTAGGAAACCTGAGTATGTGCACACACACACAAATATGTATAAAGCTGTGGAATCTGTATTTTTAGAAAGTTCCTTGGGTGATTTTGATGTTCACTGTCTGGGTAACTCTGCAGCTAGACTGTGTTGCCTATTATGAAAAGAAAAAGTACTATAGGCTGACGTGAGGAAACCATTTTACATCACTGTTAACGTTGCCAGGTTAGTTTAAAATACCTTATCTTGTAAAAGAGTGTCCCTTTAAGTATGTTTAGAAAACTAAGCTAACAGCTAATGTAAGCTGGGACTTGTCCTTAACATTAGGAAGGATAACCCTAAAAACCAGGAGTTTTTTGTTTTGCATTATTTGGTTTTGCTTTTGAGACATCCTGTGGTTTGAGTTGGCAGCTACAGACCCAAAACTTGATCTGAACAAGTAAGTGTCAGGATTGGTGGAGTGGAGGGACCGCTGTTGCCCTGTTGACACTCTCCAGAACCTTCAGAAGGATAACTTTTATGGAAAAGAGAATCTTTGGTAGCTGTCTGGATGCTTTTTAAGAGGGAGTTAAAGAGGGGATCTAAGAACTCATGATTGTCCTGGCTTCTCAATCTGAGAGCTGTGAAAGGGAAGAATTCACGTAAGATAAAAAAAGGGAAGGCAAGTTTTAGTTATTGGGAGCCAGGAACATTGTTGCGCCTATATATTTCTTCAAATAATATCGTCTCATATTGTATAGCTAGTTGGCCATTTGTGTATTTAATTTTATAGTCAGTTAATGAAAACCAGTATTTTCTTGAAGGTACGTCTTAAATTCTATACCAGTTAATGTGTTTTGGAGTTAATCACTAACCAACCACAGGACCATTCAGGTAGAGGGGATCAATATTTCAGTGAAAAGTCTGACTGCGTTTGGAAAGCACAGCGAATTCAATGAGATATGGCAACCCTTAAATCTTACTCAAAATTCTTTTTTGCCCAACTATAAAACCTCACATTGCTGCTTCTGAGCCAGGGACAACTGATCATTCCCAGATCACTGTAAGGGAAAATGAAGCCTAAGATGGCTATACTTTGGTTCAGGCTGTGGGAGGGTGATTTCCAGTGGACGTTAAATCCAAGTCAGCACGATTTCAGCATAGGTGGACTTCGTCAGTCTAGGTGTAAATAACTGATATAACCAAGGTCCTTGCTGGCCAGTGTAAATAACTTGTACTTATGACCAAGATCGTCACTGGCACATGGCCAGTATTGTGTATTTTGATATAAATGTGGACTGCCATAAGGGCTGGTGAGAACAGGCAGGCTAGAGGCCTGAGGACTGCCATGCAAGTGCGTGCAGCTGAGAATAAAGGCATATTCAGACATTTCCATGACTCTGTGTCTCTTTCTCAGGCTGCCTGGATCGCAAGTGAACCTCCCAGGAATGAACTGGTGACAAGACAGTCACAAATGATCTGCGCAGTGATGGCAAACCTTTTAGCACTTTCAACGATACCAACAGCCACCAACAGGCCATAGGTTCACCACCACTGTCTCCTCTGACTCAAGGGAAACTGCCTATCTGATGTCCTGGAGTTGAAAAAGCTTGAGTTCTGGCCTGACTGTTGCTCTGATCAGGTTACAGTGGAGGAGTAGGGGCAGCAAGGACTAAGAAGTGACTTGAGTGCTTTCCTCCCCACATGTGAAAATATTCCTTTCCATTAAGAAAAAAAGGACAGTTTGTAAAAACTTTTGCTGAGTATGATGTTTACATTTTTTTTTTTTTGGTACCAGAGATCAAACTTGGGACCTTGCGCTTGCGAGGCAGGTGCCAGAACCACTGAGCTAAATCCCTGGCATATGATGTTTACATTTTAAAAAATAGGACACAAGCTGAGATGTTAACACAGTGATTATTATTTCTGGATAAAATAAATAAGGAGGTTTTCTTTCTTGTGCTTTAATTGTATATATTTTTTTTTCTGTTGGAATGATGAACAATTTGTTTTATTTGCACTACTAGAGACTGCACCCAGGGTCTCTGCACTAAGCCACATCCCAAGGCCTTCTTATTTTTTACCTTGAGACAGGGTCTTGTTAAGTGTTTAAATTGTCAGGCTAGTGTTGAAATTGCGATCCTCCTGCCTCAGCCTTCCAGAGATTCTAAATTATTTATATGAAACAGTTTTATAGTTAAGGAAAAACACTTTTATCAATATAAAGAACATGTTCATAAACTGGCATAGATCCAGGATAAAGCATACATGTAAGAAGGAAGAAGAGCAAAGTCTGGGAGAGCCATTAAATGTGATTTTTTTTTTTTGGTACCGGGGATTGAACTTGAGTCCTTGAGCTTGCGTAGCAGGCGTCAAAACCACTGAGCTAAATCCTCAGCCCTGGGAGAGCCATTAAATACTTTCAAATTTTGTTTTCCCTCAAAAGTAAATAATATACAGAAGAAAATGACATTAAGATCTCGGCAAATATTTATCTATACGTATTACTCCATTTGTAAAATGAGGATAACAGGACTTATAAGGTTTTTGGATTTAAGAGAGTTACTGCATATAAAGCCTTTCATACAGTGCTGACACACAGTAAAAACTTGGTACTTTAGGTTACTATTTAATCATAATATGTAATTAATGTGTTATAGGAGACTTAGGCAAAAAGTTAGACACCAACTATGAACAACAGATTTTTGGGAAAAGTTTTGAGCATTAGGGGATAAGGAACCACTGAAATAGTCTATAAAATAAACAGTTGGTTAATACAGCTTAATTTCTAAATGAAGAAGTAACCATCCTAGAGTTTAAGATGCAATGGAAGACTATGTTGTCTGCTTTTTCTGTATGTGCTACTGGGGACTGAGGAAGCACTAAGCCATATTTTCAGCTCTTTTAAAATTTTATTTTGAGGCAAGGTCTTAGTTGCTCATCCTGGTCTTCAACTTGTGATCCTCTTGGTTCAGCCTCCCAAATAGCTGCGATTACAGGTATGCACCACAACTATCAGCATCATGTCTATCCTGCCTCAGCCTCCCAAGTGCTATAATTATAGATGTGGGAGACCATGCCTGGCTACATGCTGTCTTTTTAGAGTACACAGCAACTTCCCAACTTATGTGGGCACTGTAAGATTTAACCATCACGTTTGCCTTCTCTATGATGTGATAAATAAAAGAGCCCCAGAACAAGAAGTATTTTTTCTCACATACAAAAAGCATATTAAAAACTTTTTAAATTTGCCTTTTCTAACTTTTGTTTTACCTGTCCCCTGAGGCAGCTGGGTGAGTAGCTGTTAGTAGTGGAGTGTGCAGTTCGTTAGAGTAAAAAGTGTCTTGACAGTAAGTCAGCTTCTTCAAGCTCCCTGCAACAGTACGGCCTGCCGTTTTTTACCTCCATGCTTCTGGGCTAAAATGGCACAATCTGGAAAGGAAGCAGAGGGCAAATTTTGTTTAGGGAACTGTCTTGTCAGTATCACACTGCCCTGGCCTCAGGGCAGGCAGGAATTGAGTTTTGTACCACTAAATTGTTCAAACCTACCGATGCATATAAATCAGAGGCTTCCTTTCTCACTGGAAGCCCGAGGTCCCTCTAATGTCAAATCATTAATAAATAGCAACTCAAAAAACAAATAGCAACTTAATTAAGTTCTGTGGAAACGAATTTCAACGGAAACAAATCCACAAAGTGGAAGATGTTTCTGAGTCTAAACAGTACACAGTCTGCTCGTAGGTTCACTGTTGGTGATCTTTCTAAGAGTCAAGGAGACTGGTCATGCAACAGACCCAAAAGCTATAAAGGCTCCGCGGATTCTGGACAGGAACTCTACGCAGGGAGAGGTGCAGACTCAGTGGTGCAACATAAGCGGGACCCCAAAAGATTCCGGGCTCCCGACTACTTCCGCGGGAATCCCACTTCCCTCCCCAGGACTTGGGGCAAAGCCAAGGAGAGCGGTGCCTGGGGCCTCGCACGGACCTGCGACATCAGCCTGGGGGCGCCACGCCACCTCGCCTCGCCTGTCCCTCTCCCCCGGCCGGCCGGCGAGTCTCTGCGGGAGTGGAATCTCGGCCTAGCCCGCACCTGCGGCCCCTGGCAGCTCGCGGGCAGGTGCAGGTGAGGGAGAGAGAGGGACGGGGGGCAGGCCGGGGTGGGGTCGAGGGTGCCTGTGACGGTGACCGTGACCGAGGCACTAAGTAGTGCATCCCGGACGGGTGGAGGGGCGTCCCCGTGGCGTGAGTGGAGCGGCGGACAGCTTTCAGGAGTCCCGGAGGAGGAAGCCAGCTCAAAACTTCAAGAGAGGCATGAACAGGAAGCGGAGCCGGAAGTGAGGGAAGAGGGGGCGGACCCCCAGGAGGGAGAAGAAAAGTTTTCCCGCCCGGGCCCCGCCCCTCCACTATGGCCACGCCCTGTTCCGGACCTTGACCCCGCCTTCTGCCGCGTCCTGCCCTCTGGTCCCCGGCGCCATCCCCACTGCGCCCTCTCGCGGCGGCAGCGGCGGAATCGTTAGCAGGTTCGGCGGTGAGCATTCCTTCTGGAAGTCTGGGCGGAGAAAGAGTTCAGGTCCAGGGGAGGGAGACCCTGGGGAGACCCAAGGTGGGGGATTTGCAAGTACACCCCTGGAATAGCGTCCTCTCAGAGCCTCGGCTCTTCCTTCCCTGGTGGGTACAGACATAGCAACCCCAGCAGGTCGGCCCGAGACGCAGTCTTTACCTGTCCACAAGGGCCTAGCCCAGTAGTGGCGAACCTATGGTCACAGCGGGCTGTTTATTATCATTGAAAGCTTTAAAAGGTTCGCCATCCCAGGCCTAGCCTGACCCCCATAACCTCAGTAGGCCCTCCAACCCCCAAAGAAACTAATGCGAACCACATTTCTGCACCTATAGGAGCCTGAGTTTGAGGGCTGAGAATAGCCTCCCACCCCGGGAAGGAATAGGTGTGGGAAGGATAACTTTTGGTAGCGGAAGGCTAGAACCCAGCCTGCAAGAAGGGAGAAGGTGGGAGAGAGGGACCACGTCTGAGAAGGAAGGTGTCGGATGCCTTGGCCGCTTTGCCCGTTGTACAGCTTTTAATCAACCAGTGCCTATTCAGTTGCGCCCTGCCTTCCAAGTGAGTGCTAACTGGGGTGCGGGGGAGAAAGGTGCAGGGCACAGGTACAGTGGTGAACTGTGCAGTCCTGCACCTCCCCACTCGCCAGCCGTCACTCCCTCTGAGCTTGTAAGCACTCTGCCGGAGACAGAGTGGCTGTTATCTGACACATTTACTCATCCTTTTTCCTCCCAATTTCTGATAAAAGTCCATTCTAATCTTTTGTTTTGTTTTGAGGCTCCTATGTTCTGAATCTCCCATTGTCTCTTCTGTAAGCTCAGGCCATTTCTCATCCCAGTCTTCCCGTACTTTCCATTCTCCACCTTTTCTCTGTACTGCACCTTAGTCCCATTTCCTCCTGGCTTGACTCAGCCTTGGAGGAAAGAACACACCGTGGCTGAATCAGAGGCATTTGATGAAGATACATCTTGGCCGTCTTGGTGTGTGGATGGTGGTGACACTGGAGAAGTTGTGCCAGCCCCAAGTTGAATAACCAGTATTTATGGTGATAACCTCCAGGTTGTATAGGTTTGAAATTTTATTTTAGTTCACAAGCGTGTAAAGTGTAGAAAAGTGTGTATTTTCACCACTAAATTTTTTAAATAAAATTTACAGGCAAAAAATATACTGTCAAATCTTTGCTAAATAATTATTTTCCTTAGAAATACTTCTCCCTCTGAAAGATCCTGAGGGATGTCAGGATTGGATCTATGTGTTTGACCAGCATGCTTTATTGTTGGCATTTGTGATTGAAGTCATTCACCTCAGCCAGCAGATGTGTAGGTGACTCCTAGCAAGATCAAGGGGGCCTTCTACTCACGGATATTCAAAGTGACTGATTTCTTAGGTAGATCACAACCAGTTGTGTCAGTAACCTCAGATCATCTTTTGTCTACTTTTGGCATTTTAATTTCTTTATCTTTTCCTCATTTCCCTAGCAATCTTTCAAGCAGGGAAGATGAGATTTGAGGAATGAAAAATAATATTCCTAGAATACTGTGTCTGGGTTTACAAAAATGCCAAATTGTGATTAAAACTTTCAACTTAAAGAATATGCAGGGAGTATATAATAATGTGAAACTTGAATTATAGTCTACAACCTTTCTTTAAAATCTGTTATAGAGACTTTCAACAAAGTGGTATTTGAAAAATGAATTAAATAAGTTTTTGAGGAACTCAGTATTTCTTGGCAGATAAAGATATTTTTTAAATGAAAAAAATTTGCGTCTGATTTTTTTTTTTTTTTGCCTAGATGTATGAAGAAGTCTTTTTGGAATCTCATAAAGCACAGTTTTCTTCACCTTACACTTTATGCTTTACAGCCTGTGGTTTTGTGAGGTCACCCTCTGCTCCAGAGACCCCTGTCTGTTCACTCCAGGCTGGCAAACATCCAAGCTGAGGCATGTTTTCACCTTGGCAGATGGGGATAACAATCAGACCTCAGATCTGTGTGGAGTGTAGGCAGCAGGGGAAGAGTTAAAGCAGGCCACCCCCAGCACTTTCACTGGGGGCATGACCTGAAGGCTGTAATATTTTTTTGTTTGTTATTTTTTGTTTTTGAGACAGGGTCTCACTATGTAGTTCAGGCTGGCTTCAAACTCATGCACCACCACACCTGGCCTGAAGGGTATATTCTTGTCCCCAGCTCCTATCTTCTCTCTTTATGTTTTCTAGATGGCATGGATTGCACCTTTTCTTCTGCCATGCCCCCGTGCCATCTTGTTTCTGCTTTGGAGCCAACTTTGTGCATGCAGAAACCAGTAGCCAAAATAAACTGCTCTTCATTTAAATTTGGGCTGTTGGGTCTTTTGTCCCAGTGATGGGAGGCTAAGACATTAAGAAACTTCTCTTCTGTAAATAAGCTGTTGAGGGTTTTTATTAGGAAAAGAGATTGTTTTTCAAATGTTTTTTCTGCATCAAAATTGAGATGATCATGTGATTTTGCCTTTGGTTTTGTTGTTGCTATTGCTTTTTGTTTGTTTTGTTTGTTTTTTGAGATAGGGTCTCATTATGTAGTTCAGGCTGCCCTTGAACTCACTGCATAGCCCAGGCTGGCCTCAAACTTGTAGTGATCCTCCTGCCTCAGCCTCCTGAGTGCTGGGATTACAGGAGTGTGCCATCACACCTGGATTCCTTTGGTTTTGTTAATGTGGTATATCACATTAATTTGGATATGACAAACTTAGTTAAATCCAAGTAGGATTTAACCCTTTCAGGCCAGGGTTAAATCCTACTTGGTCATGATATTTAACCTTTTTGATGTATTGTTGATTTGTTTTACTAATATTTTATTGAGGATTTTTTGGTCAATATTTATCAGAGAAATTGGCTTTAAGTTTTCCTTTTCTTGTGGTGTCTTTGACTCAGGTACCAAGGTTGTATTGGCCTCATAAATTGCATGGAGAAGTAAGTATTCCCTATAGGTCTTTTTTTCGGAAGAGTTGAAGAAGTATTGATATGACTTCTTTCAATGCTTTGTGGAGTTTAGCTGTGATGTCATATGGTCCTGGGCTGCTCTTGTTTTTTGTTTTGTTTTTGGTACCAGGGATCGAACTCAGGACCTTGCGCTTGCGAGGCAGGCGGTGATGCCACTGAGCTACATCCCCAGCCCTGGGCTCTTCTGTTTTGATAGATTTTTATTATTTCTTAAGTAAGTTTCTGTATTTGTTGTTGGGTTTGTTCAGCTTGTCTTTTTCTAACTCAACCTTTGTAGGTTGTATTTTTCCAGGAATTTAACCATTTCCCTTAGGTTATGTCATTGTACAATTGTTCCTAATAATCCTTTATGATTCTTTTTATTTCTGAGGCATCTGTTGTAATTTCATCACTTTCCTTTTTGATTTTATTTATTAGGTCTTATCTTTCTCTTTTTAAAAAAATGTTAGACTAAGTCTTTGTTGATTTTATTTATCTTTTAACAATCCAACTCTTTATCACTTCTTTGTATGGTTTTTCTCTTCTCTATTTGACTTATTTCTATCTGATTTTTATTATTTTCTTTGTTCTGCTAATTTTGGGTTTAGTTTGTTTTTCATTTTCTAGTTCCTTACCAGATGATATTAGATAATTTATTTTATCTTCTTTTTACAACGCTTGGGATTGAACTCAGAGCCGTGCACTGAGCTACATCCCCACCCATTTTAACTTAAAATTTTGAGACAGGGTTTTGCAGAGTTGCTCAGGTTGGGCTTGAATTTGTGATGCTTGTGCCTCAGTCTCCTTAGTAGTTGGGATTACAAGTGTGCATGCATGCACTTCTGGACCAGCCTGGCTCTTTCTTCTTTTTTAATTTAGCCATTTACTGCTGCAAAGTTCCCTTACAGAACTGCTTTTGC